TCACAGCGCTGCGGTCGTCGAGCCTGACGTCGCGGCGCGCGAGCTGCGCGATATCGCCGAGACGCGGCGCCCCCGCGATGACCCAACCGAGCCCTTCTGGAGCGTTCTGCTCGAACACGGGCGCCATGGCCCCGCCCTCGTCGTCCTCGACACATCGGGCGGCGGCTCAGCAGGGGGGGCCAGCGGCGGGGCGGCGCTCCTGAGCGGCCCCAACATCCTGACGGCTGAGCTCGAGGACTGGATCGCGCCCTCGATGCAACACTCCCTCGAGTCCATCACCGCCACTCCACGATCGCGTAGGTCTGAACGAGCCTCGCGAATCAGCCGCCGCAACTCACCACCCGTGATCTCCTGCGCGCGCTGATATAAGCTGCCACGCCTCACTGAAGGGCGAGCGCCGTCTCGGTCGATCCGAAAAATCCGCGAACAGCCCTCGGGGTCCTGGCACATGAGGTTCTCTTGCGCGCAGTCCCCGTCTGGGGAGCACGTGCACCGCACCTGCGGCCACGCCAAGTAAATCAGAATCCTGCGGTGCCAGGCGTTGTCGCCCTCGCACCACAGGGCGACCGCATCGCCCAGCAAGAGGTCAGCGCAGAAGTCCTGCACCCCGACGCGGTTCCGCCCGCCAGGCGCGGCGTCGGCCACCTCACGATGCGCGGTATTTCCTCGGCAGCCACAAGCGCCATGTGGCCGACGGCAGAAGCAGAAGCAGTCCGCGGTCACCACCTCCACGAGCGCCAGCGAGCCTATCAACACCTCCCGCACCGCGGAGGCCTCCTCAGGCTGAGGAGACAGCACGATCTCGGGCTCGGCGGCGCACACCGGCGCCTCGTCCACTGGGCAAGTCCCCAGCGCGAGCCAGTCGAGTCTCTTTCAGCCCCCCGACTGCCTCCTCAGTCGCGGCTGCGAGCTCGCCTGCAGCGCGCAGCTGATCCTCCAGCGCCACCAGGTGAGGCTACTCGGGCGGCGTCGGGCAGATGGGCGGCGAGAGGCTCTGGGCCAGGAAGTGAGCGAGGAGGCGCGTGGACAGAACAAGAGAGAATCCGCCGACAGCCCGAGCAATCGAACTGCTCATGCCTCAACACTTGAGCACAGGTACCCACAGACGGTCGCAACAATCACGCGCTAAGCGCTTCCATTGGACCGAATACGGCCCAAGAGGGCCCCAAACCGTCCCAAAGAGGCCCCCAAGACAGTCCAACAAGACCATAAGACGGCCCAAGAGGACCCCAAGAGAGCTTCAAGGCGGCCGCGAGAGGCCCAAGCAGCGCAAGAGCGCCCCAAGACTGACCAAGATGCCCCAGAGACGCCCCACGAGGCCCCAAATAAGCCCCCAAAAGGCCCCAAGAAACCCCTAATATGTTTCCAGAAGCCCCCAAACAGGAGACCCCACCAGGCCCCGCAATGACTGGACTGTACGTGCTCCAGACGTACACCCCGCAAAACAAGAGGAATCCACGTCCGGAAGTGACGCGCTGAGCGGCAGCGTTTCTCGGCGAACGCCTTAATCCAATGTATCCTACGTGCCCAATCGCTACTCCGGAATCGCGCCACATCCGTCGACACAAAAATGCAAGACCCCTTTTCTCGGCATCAAAACCTACAGAAACCTATGGAAAATCAATGGTCTGGGCCGCTTGGGTTGGGAGCCCATGAAGGCGTCAAGACGGCCCAAGACGGCCTGAATACGCACCATAACGGCTCCAAGACGGCCCAAGATGGCCCGAAGACGGCCCAACAAGCCCCCAAGACAACCCCAGAGGGCCCCGAGAATCCCCCAAGAGCTCCTCCAGACACCAAAAGCATTGATGTTCCGTTGGGGGTTGAAATATTTCAGCGTTCTCGCCATTGTCGCCCCTCAGAAGCCCATGACGGCCCAAGCAGCCTCCAAAATGGCCCCAAGACGGCCCCCACGAGGGCCCGCAACTGCCCCAAAGAGGCCCCCAAGACACTCCAACAGGACCCCAAGACGGCCCAAGAGGACCCCAAGAGAGCTCCAAGGCGGTCCACGAGAAGCCCACAGGACGGCCTCCGAAGGGGCCAAGCGGCGCAAGAGCGCCCCAAGACGGCCCAAGATGCCCCCAAGAGGCCTCAAGAGGCCTCAAATAAGCTCCCAAAAGGCCCCAAGAAACCCGCAAAAGGCCTCCAAGAGGCCCCAAAAAGGCCCCCACCAGGGCCCCGCAACGAGTGGACTGCACGTGCTCTGGACGTGCACCCCGCGAAGCGAGAGGAATAACCATGCACGACAAGTCTGCGTGCATCGCCGTGGGCGCATGCCGTTGCTTGCTGAAAAATACATCGCGAACGTGAGGAGTCGGGGGGGCCGAACGGGAGCAAGGGAGGAGACTGACGAGAGGAGGGGAAGGAGGCTGACGAGGAAAAGGAATAGGAGGAGGAAGAGGAGGAGGAGAGGAGGAGGAGGAGAAGAGGAAGGAGGATGACTAAGGAAACACAAGGATAATGACGAGGAGGAGGACAGGAGAAGGCTGACGAACATGAGTGAAAGGAGACTCACCAGGAGGAGGAGGAGAGGAAGAGGAGGAGGGGGCGGAGGAGGAGGAGGATGGAGCGTCTGAAGGGGCGCGGGTCATCCAAAGCCTAGCCACAACTACATTTTACATATGCATCGCGAGCGTGCTGCACTACGTCGTCTACGCGCGCGCGCATCGAGGAGGAGGAAATGAGAGGAGCGACAAAATCGGATCGGGGGGGAAAGGAAAGGAGCGAGGGCCGTGGTCCTCAAGAACCTTGTCCAGGCCCTTGGACTCCAGGTCTTGGGTACTTCTCGTCCTGCGTCGTCTTGACGGAAGACAGATAGGCCGCGGCAGCGGCGTTCACGTCCCTCGACGAAGCATTCCAGCGTCTCGCCCTCACCTCACTTCGTCGAACGGCCTTCTCGTGCGACGCAGCAGCTGCCTCTCGGCGCCACCTCCGACAGCCGAGCGCGACAGCATCTCCACGAGGAGCCGCGGGGGCTCCAGCACGATGTCGGTCAGCACGGTCACCTTCGTCATCCGCTCCACATCGAGGGAGAGAATCATGAGCTCCTCGATCTTTTGCTTGAAGAGGAGCAGCCCCCGCGCAACCACGGGCGTCCGCCGGAGTGCCGTCGGCCCGAACCGCGGCAGCGGCATCGCGAGGTAAAGCAGCGACTCCAGCAAGAGGGTCTCGATCACCAGCTTCCTCGGCAGGAAGATGGGCACGGTCAACTCAGTCAGCAGCGACGGCAGCACCACGAGGACCAGTAGCGTCTCCAGCACGAGAGTCTCGATCACCTGCTTCGTCCTCAGGAAGGTCTGCACGGGCACCTCCGTCATCGACTTCACGATACACAGCGGCCCCACCAGCTGCGACTCCGAGGAGACAAAATTTGCCGGCGATTGCTCGCAGAACGTTCCGGCGGAGTGTCCCCGGAACGTTCTGGACGCCGACCTGGCTGGACAAGGTCCCGATTGCCAGCTTCGCTTTCGGCACGGACACACCCGTGAGCATTTTCACTGGAGGTCGCGTACATCATATTTTCCTCCATCTCGGTCATCTGGGCGAGGCCCTGCTGGCCCCTCCTTCCCCTCCAGGAGCAGGGCGTGCAGGTGCTCGGTCATCTGGGCAAGGCCCTCCTCGAGGGTGGCGCCACATGCTGTCAGCATCCGCTCCTGGGTCATCGCCCATAGGTCGCTAGTCTTCGCGCGCAAGTGCTGCTGAAGCTCGAGAACCCTCGTCTGCACAAGCACCTGTTTCGCCTGGAGCGCCTTGAGGTCAGCCCGCAGGTTGCCAACAACTCCCTCAGGATCAGCAGCGGGGAGGGCCTTCACCGCCGTCTCCAACCGCGTGGACAGCGACTAGATCTGGATCTGCAGGCAGTTCGTCGGGCGCTCCTCCTCGCAAGTTGCCTGGTCCTGCGACTTATTGACCATCTTCGCAAACTTCACCAGCTGTGCAGAGTAATTACCGTTCAGTGGCCAACGCATGCGTCTTCTCGAAGATGTCGAGTGCGACCTTCTGGTCGATCATCCCCTTGGGCTTCTTGACGCGCTTATCGGCGGTCGCCTCCAGTTTGGTCTCTACGGCCATGCTGTCCTGCTTGAGGGAAGCCAGGATCAAGTCAATCTTGTGGTCCAGCTGGGAGCTCAGCTCGTTTTTCAGGGTGGTGATGTCCTCGCGGCCCACCTCAGCAGCATCCCCGCTGACTTTATATCCTCCGTCGGCAGCGGCGGGAACTCCTCCTCATAGATATCCGCCTTGCACGGTCGCGGACGCATTGGAGGCGCTTGCCTGCACACCGTGCCCTCCACGAGCAGCCAGTTCTTTTGGCGCACCTGACTGCCCGCGGTGTTCCACGCCTTGAATCTTGCCGCCTCCTGCAGGGAAACGCGGCCGCGGGGCTCCGCCACGGCGCACAGCCGGGCCCCCGATCGGCGGTGGAGGCCAGTGCGCAGCTCCAGCTCCCGCACGGACTCCACCGCCTTGATGAGAGGCTTCGCCTCACGGCGGATCGCCCGCGGCGTCGAGACGTGAGCATGGCTCGCTGGACGCGAGGTGATGTAGCCGCGCGCCTGCGCTCGATCTGCACGCCGCAACCTCGCGGCGGGGAGTGATGAGGTTGTCCTTCATGCGGGGCACCGCGCCGTCGATGGTGGAGAGGATAAACAGGACGGACTGCAAGGACGCCTCGAACGCAGCGAGGGCGAGGTAGATCAGGACGGGTCGCATCTCGCGGCTCCGCACATGGCAGAGGCGCCGCCGAAAGGCCCGCGCGCCCAAGCTTGCCACGCGCGCGCGCCGCCCATGGCTTGAGCCAGAATGGCTTTAGCCAAAATTGCTCGAGCCGAAATTGCTACGGAGGAGGAGGAGGAGAAAGAGGAGAAGGGCGATGCTTCACGAGAGAGCGGTGCCACGGCCGCCTTGGCGAACCGGAGGGCCATGCCATTCTGCCGGACGGCCGCAAGCACGAGAGCCTTGTCCTGGGGCGGCGCCGAGGAGGAGATGAGGTGGTGAAGGAGGTGGAGGAGAGAACGGAGGAGGATGGAGGGGAGGAGGTGGGGGGAGCCAGGGCACCAGGGCACCAGCCATCTCGACAGACCAGCCCGCAGCGTCAGCGCCAGTTGGAGTGAAGGGGCAGCTAGCGAAGGCGGAACAGCTGGAGGAGGTGGAGGCGGATGGAATGTAGGGGGAGAGCGCACCAAGAGAACTCATGGCGTGGCAAAGAGATAACCTGCGCGAGACAAGCGCGGACTCATCCGAAGGCAGAGCGCTTCGTTACGAAGGCTTCGTTAGACAAGCCGCAGAGGCTTGCACACGTATCAGCTGTGCCTGTAGGGCATCATTCCCAGAGGTTGCAGGTGCGTGTCTGTGCGCATCAGGATCAGATAGATGTGCGCCCGCGATGCTGACTGCCCCTGCAGCCGAAGACCGCACACGCGCGCAGACCACACCTCCCGACGCGCATCACT